CCCCAAAACCCCAAAACCCCAAAACCCCAAAACCCCATTCATGAAGTTTCAAATTGAAATTTTAGGAAATGGTCAACCTATTCTTAGGAAGGGGGTTACTCTCGTGTAGAAACTGTATCCTCAGAGCAAGCTTTCTGTGCCTTTTTAACTGGCTAGGACTGTTTACTTTTACCGATAGAGATAACATTTTCTTGTATTTTATACTACCCTAACAATTTCCCCTGTTCGATCGTGGATTTCTAACCTATTTATACTTTAATTGGGCATTCTGATATCGTCTAGATTACCTACATTTAAAATATGTACAAATTTACTTCCAATAAACACATTATAGAAGGAATTATTAAGCTGAAAGCTCCTTCTCTGTCAAAATCTTGAACTATTCAAATTTAATTATTCACAATCATTGCTGCTTCTGAACCATATTACCCTAATGCTTCCTTAAAATGGCATCTACATGATATAATCTGCGGTTGTCTGAGAAACGTCACAGCTCCGCTCACAAGACTTGACAATGGAACAATCTAACTGGCCTAAAATATCTCTGCTAATATCTATGGTTGCCTCATATCTGCTTCATTCAGCCTCAAAATCTGACCCAGGAGACGGCTATGTTACCTCTCAGAGTCCCTAAAGCACTTATTTAAATACAAGAAATAGTGGCAGAAGAGTTCAGCTTGGTCTGGCTCTAGAAAGTGAGGGTAGGGACACAGATGAGATCAGAAACCGGGCTCCCATAGTTGGGACCACTCCAGTCAGGATTGCCCAGAGATGGCTGAAAGGAGCTGGAACTTTAGATGAAAGTTTTAGCAACGAAGTTACACACTACTCTAACTGAGAGGTCTAAGAAGAGAAGCTTTGGGTAGTTTTTTGGGAAAAGAACACCTGAGTTGACTAACCTAAGGGATTTTGAGCACACTAATCTGTTACACTCTAAATTATGCATATTAATTGAACTGAAGGTCTTATAGACGACACTGAAGGCTGATTACGATAATGCAGATTAGTAGCAGTTTTATTGACCAAAGAAAATGCTCAAAATTTTCTAGTTTAAGTCAAGCAGTTATTATTCAATTGGTAAAATTGCACATCATTAGGCAACGTTATCAAGTATTCTTAGCCATGAACAAAAGTGTCTAATCAGGATGGAATAAAATGAGGATTCTTCGCTTGCCAACACAGGTGCATTCAATAGTTCAAAGAAAATTATCATACAAAACGTATGAAGATTTCAGAATTTAGTCAAGGGATAACTTAATTTTTCAAATTTCTTTTTTATTAAACATTATTATGATACTCATCAGTTTGAGCCTTGTTGTTGCTGCTAATGCAACGAACTGACAAAAATAATTACACAAAAGTCCTAGCCAAAGATGGGATGATATAAAACTGCATAAGAGTAATAATTCGAACCTCTGAAGACCCCATATTCGGCTCTAAAATCTACTCAAATTCTATAAAAACATTTTGCTGAAACAATCTCGGGCTTTGCAATCAGTAAGCATTTTGGCAACTTTTGCAGCTCTAGGACTTTAGAGATCATGCCTAAAGCTCCAGCATTAGTTAAGGAAATAATGATTCAAATAGATGAATCTAAAATTATGATAAATTCCTTCCAGGAATTCGCTATCATATATTTTCATGAATCGCACCCTATCTCACAAACTTCAGGGATGTAGGATGCACACTGCTGAAACACAGTGATCGAAGCGGTGTCATTTGAGTTCACTAGATGCTCTTTGAGTCTCCATTACGATAGCACAAGGTCTAACACATGAACATAAACTAAAGGAATAGCTGCTCTGATACTTCTTGAAGTATTCATGAGACGTCTCCTTTTGAACATTTTTCTAAGCTTCGCCCAAAAAGTACTGGAACTATTAAAAACACTAACTGATTTATTTCTCGTCATTGATTACTTCTCAGCCAGAAGTATGGCTATCCAGGCTATTCTCCTTGACAGGTTTAGTGGTGGCTTGTCCTGAGTAGAATTAGTCACCGAGATCTGCCTGAAACTTACCTAAAAATAATACTTTATCTATATTTTCTTGAACTTAGAGTTATTATAGTTACAATCACGATTACAATAATATCTAAAATCCTAAATTTGTTTTTGCTGAAGAGCTAAGTTCAGCAGCCTGAGATTTTGAAATAACTCAGACAACCAGAAATCATGAATATTATATTCAATCCATGAATCACTATTTTTCCCTCAAGAATTCAGTTTTGAGCTGGTGAATTACCCTATCAAGAGACTTGTTCTTCCAGCTTGCAGCAAGAAGAAATAAGCCTGGATATGGCCCAATTATATGAGAAGCCTCACTGCTCTAGGCTTATTATGACACGAACTTGGTGTATAATACTCCCTGAGTTTTCTTTCCAAAAAGAAGTTGTTTAAATTTTGATTCATGAATAAATTTTCACCTGAAATTAGCCTAGTGAACTAACCCAGATAGCCAAGAATAAACAAACAAATCGCTAGAAAGAACGATCAAGGCATACTAGCTATTCTCTGAAGCTTTGCAATAATTATCAGGCTGTCAAAGATCCGACCAAATGTCTAGAAGGGTTTAAGAAATAATCGATGACCAAAGTTCTCCGGATTCCTGACCAAAATTTCATCGCCAAGCGACCTAAAAGTTAGCAAGAATATGGAAAATTCCTTGGGAAATCTTCGCAATGAGTCCTTAATGGTTTGCCACCCCCAAAGAGCTCCTTTGTAAGCCAAGTTGAAAGTCTCGCCTTCTAAGTTCATAGGAGATAAATTGCTCTTCGTGCTCGACATTGGGCTTAAATAGATATCCCTCTTGGTCTTGACATTGGCAGAAAATATCCTATCACAGTTAAAATTGTATGCTTTGGTAAATTCTTAAAATGTGTTGACAAATTATGATTGCCTAAACTGCAAAATTTTTCAAATAGTAATTTCTTAAGAAAATGGTGACTTACGAAAGTAACCTAACACCAAGAATTCATGACGAAAATGTAGAACTGCCAGTAAGAAATTCAGGCATCCTCTCCACCCAACCCATGGTGAACATATCCCAGTTAGAGAAGTCATAATTTACCTATTAAAAGTACCCCAGTAGCAAAATAGAGAACTATATGCTTAAAAATCCTCATAACCCATCTCAATTAAACTGTAAAACTAATTCTCTTAATTTTTCAAAAATACTATTCACCAACATTATCACTTGAAAATCCTCTAAAAAATATCAAATTAGTGGATTAAATCACTTCTCAAAAGCAGCAAATACCACAACCCTATCTCTTGACCTACAAGGGCATCTCTTCATTACTAATTTCCCAGAAACCAGCTGCATGAATTAGTAAATTATCAATATATTCAGCCCCAAAAACCTAACTATAAACCGATAACTGAGGCAAGAGAGTAACCACTTTGATGCTGAACCAGACTAACAGAGCTGCACTCAATGGCTTAGCCTAATCTGGCCAAATGACTGCCTGAAGAACACAATTTTACAGATCCACTGCTTTTCAAAGACACTGGCTACTATACAACCATAATAACTTGCAAGAGAAATCTGAGAACAGATATTTCATAACCGGGAAATATAGTGAAGCCTGAGAGGAAGGCAGCATGCTTCACTAATTTTCATAAGACTTTTCGAGTGGGTATGTAGCCCTATAGAGTCTTAGACTCGGCATAAAATTTTCGATAAACTCATTTGGAATAATACTTAGAAGATAAGAACATAAGAAATGACAAACTTAAGAATCACTATTTATTTTTAACGAGAAGAGGATAGAATAAAATAGTCATGAAGACTCGCTTCATGATTTAATGACACTATCAGAGATTGACCAGGTCTCGTATTGACTTATTGTAGTGTTCTTTCTCACTTAGCCGGGCTACTTTATCGTTAACTGGAATAATAATGCCCAGATAATAATAAATAGTGATTCATGGCTCAATTCTTAAGAGGTGGAATCAAACCTCCTCCCTTGACAGTGAGGCTTGTCTCCAATATGTATGTGCAAATCGAAGCTTTGTTGCTTTATAAGCTGAAATTTGCACTCAAATTTGAGCCAGGATGCTCAAACTTGCATAATTTTACCTAAAATGGCTCCTCCATTAATCCTTAGTGCCATATTAAGTTTCCAAGTTCACTCATGGTGTTTTTGTTATAGAGATACTTGAAACCCAAAACTTTGCTTTTAAGTGTTCTACTCAACTATAAGTAAACTGAAGCGACCTCGCAGCTCAACTCAGAAAGATTTCCTTAATTTGGTTGCCAGTAAAAGTCGGTTATAAATATCTCGATATTCTTCGAACGTTCGCCCAATATTCTTCAAGGTAATATGAGCAAGCCGATCAATGAAATTCTTCAGTGGGGGTCTTAGCTTTGATGAAACTCATAGTTCTGCTAGCAGGACCTGAGCCAACTCATAACTCGGTATTTACAATAGCCTATCCATTCTGTCAAAATGGCAACTATGAGCGTAAGTATCTTTTGCACTAACAATTAGTAATGGTTTCTCTGAAATTACTAGCAGCCTGCTTAACAGTTGCATACATCTAAGATAGAGAAGTATCAAAAATTATGATCACTATCAAAATCTAGCCCAAACATAAACCATTATTAACGATTTTTGAAAATTTAGAAACAAATTTGAGGAATCAGGACCCATCAACCCGAGTAACTTGGTATCAAACTTTGGAAAAGGATTTATGGAATGAGGTTACAACAATTAACTTAATTTGGCTCTGAAAGGAGAAGCCTCGAACACTCCTCCGTTTCAGTTGAAACTCTCCAGCATTTCAAAGATGTCTTCGGCTCTCCACGAAAAGTTGGTCGGAGCCTTGTCGTTGTGCAACATTAGAGAGTAGAAGTCGAAGGTGATCGCTGCATCGACTTCGAGAGGGTAGCTGCCCACATAGGTCTTCTTGCCTCCGATCACGATCAGGGTCTGGTAATTCACAGAGTTCTTGGTCACTCCTGTGAACCTGGTTCTTCTCTTACTGACTCTTTTGGTTTTTCAAACATTGGCTTTCTTCTTTGCATGCACAAAAGGCAGCCCTGTTCCTAGTAGCGGGAACAGCTTGGCTTTCAATTTTTCTTGGTGTTTAGAGAAATCATATGTGTGAATTGTCTTTACTTGTTTCTGGCATTCGTATTGGGTCCTCTCAGAAACAGGCATCACTTGCTGCAACTGCTTCTGGAGGTCACAAAGGCAGAAATCACTAAAAATATTGAAGATTGGATTCATTTAATTATGATAAAACTTCTCTATATTTATATGTTATTTTGGGGTTTTGGGGTTTTGGGGTTTTGGGGTTTTGGGG